AGGCCTCAAACCTGTTCCTGAGATGATTCTTAAATTCAGGTGGTATGAAATCAAAGTCATATTTTGGCTCCTGTGGATTTGGTTTAAGTTTCCTCAGCTTCAGCTTGAATTTGCATATGAGTAATTGGTGGTCTGTTCAATGTAGTCACTTTAATTTCTGTATATCCTCAATCTGCCAAGGTATATGTATCTTTTATGTCGTTGAGAAAAAGGTATTTCGAAACAATCTTGCTAAATTATCAATCATTGGTAATTATCAATGCCTCCTGACTGTATTTTGATAAACACTAGAATGCAGAAATTGGTAAAAATATTTAATTTCTTAATCATGGTAGCCAGCAGCAATGACACTCCTGCCTAAGAAGACTGGCTGCAAAAAATACTACCTCTAGCAACAGAGTCCAGTAATCACCTTGAAATTGTCAGATTTATTAGGAATAGGTAATATGTAAAACAAAGAAGAAACCTTTTTATGCATAATCTACAAAATGAACATACAAGCCACACATGTCCCCTTACCTTTCTGGGTCGGTGTTTACTCCAATAACTGGTTTAAGCCTGTCTAAGACTTTGCTTGCTGCCAGAAGCATCGTGCCATCACCTAAAGAGCATTAGGCAAAATTAACTGCACTTCTATTACAAAATCCACTTTTTATATCATTTTGAATACCGGCAGTTTTGTTTCAACAACCAAACCCCATCCTGACAACTGCCATAGTCTACACTCCACCCTTCTACTTACCCTTCATTTCTTCTGTCTCTCCAACTCTAATCTAGGATTTCTGGACAGTAGCAAGGATATCATTTATGTAGAATAATTCATTATCTGAGGCGGCATCTTGTACATAAGATGTTGAGCAGCATCACTGGCCTTTAGCCATTAGAAACTATGCCCCTACTGCCAGTGACAGACTTGCTTCAAGATAATGCCAAATGTTCCCCGGAATCAAAGCTGCCCCGGTAAGAATCAGAGCACTAATCTTATCGCTTTTTCTTCTTTTTAAAAAAATTTTTTAAATCCTACTGCTTTTATGAGCTAATATTTTTTTCTTCTCTGATGAGTCCAAATTCACATATTCTTTATTGAAAACATACCCAACAAAGTTTCCAAATTTGGGTATTTTTCTCCAACTACTGTTGTAAATGTTAAGTTTTAGAAAGAGTAGTCACTAAAGCTTAGGTAAAAATAAGTGTAAGTGTATTGGGGCCAAAAAGGGGCAGAACTTATCTAATTACACTAAGCCCTCTATCAAGTTCTACTTTTAATTTAAAAAAAAAAAATTGGTAGACCAAAATATATCTATGACTAATGACAGAAAAATAAATTGAGCTGTGGTGTTGGAGAAGAGCACTGAATATGCCGTGGACAGCTGAGAGAACAAAGAGATATGTCTTAGAGGTGGTGCAGCCAGAGTGCTCTTTTGAGGCAAGAATGATAAGTCTTTGCCTCGCATACTTTGGGCATGTTGCCAGGAGGGGCTGTTCCTTCGAGAAGGACAAGATTCTGGGAAGGGTGGAGGGCTGGGGAAGGAGAGGAAGGCCCTCAACAAAGTGGGCTGATATGGTGACTGCTGCAATGGGCTCCTGCCTGTAGGAAATATGAAGATTGCACAGGGTAGAACAGGGTCCAGATCTTTTTGGTTCACAGGGTCGCTATGAATTGTACTCGACTTGTCAGAACCTAACAACAATGATGACGACAAAGCTTTGTGCCATACTTAAAGCTACATATATGTACCTCAAAATACAAAAAGAAAGAACCACACTCTAATGACACAGGAACATCATTGACTATAAAGGTGAAATGTATAGCAAAGATCTGTTTCATACCTAGTTCAGGAAATTAAAACATCTGTCTTCAGGAATGACTTCACTGTAACTAGACTCCACAGTCTTTGGAAATCTAGACGTTTAAGCACCGTGAGAGAAGGATGGGCAATCTTCTCCCGTGCAATTAACTACCTCTGAAAACCCCCTGGAGGTCAGCTATAGGTCGGTTCCAACCCTACGGTACAACAGCAACATGTATTAAAAAGCAACCCTGTCCCCAAATTCTTTATACTGTAAAGCAGTTACCTCCAGCAGCAATGACAGCATCAGCCCATCTCACAGTCTCTTCATCATACTCTCTCCTTTTCACTAGACGAACTTCAATTCCTTCATTCCTGAGGTAAGAAGTAAAGGTTATAAGACCATCATATTTATAATAATAATAAAAAGGTTATTAAAAAATGCAGTAACATACATCTTAGAGACATGTTTTGAGAGGAATATTATCACAATAGAGAAAAAAAATAAATGTATGTTTTTAAAACAAATTTATGTTCAGCTTTATAATCCTGCCACAAACTTTTATTTAATTACGACAGCCAAGCCAAATAACTGTAACAGGCCATGGAGCATATTAATAAACTAAAATTACTAATTACCCTCAAACATCAATATAGTTTTAAAAATATTTTTATATAGATAAGTTGGGTAAAGGGATAGACAGTATACGAAAAATGGCTGCTAAGATACTATAATGGACTCATTAATCAATTGTAGTTCATGTTAGAAAACAAAATGTGTATGAATGATTGAATGAAAAAAAGTATGATTTGTAAGCTCACTCGAATAATAAAAACTTTTATAGCCATTAATCAATAGCAACACTGGTTAGAATGCAATTCGATTTTCTCTTTTTCTCTTGACTAAAATTCATTACTGAGAAATGACCCAAAATAGTTACATATAAGAGAATGGTTTTAAAAATTATAAAACTAGAGGGAGCTCTGGTGGCCTAGTGGCAGGAAGCTGTACTGCAATCCCAGAGGGGTGTGGTTCAAATCCACCAGATGTTCTGCTGGAGAAGGAGGTTCAATCTCCTCCAGTACCAATCAGATCTAATTTGATGGTACACACACAAAGATAATAAAATAAATTTTTAAAAAATTATAAAACTGAATAGCCATTATTTTAAACTCAACTAATAGTGAATGACAGCCAGACACTGAATGACTAAAATGCTAATTTGCATTTTTTCCACATTTATTCCCTTATACATAAATTCATTCACTGATTGTATGGAGTCCCAAAATAACCTATAATTTATGAGGAAAATTTTTAGGGATTCAGAGAATATGAAAATGAATACTCACTCACATAATCCACTAATATGTTTAAGAAATTAAACATTATGTATACAGGTGAATCCTCCTACATACTGAATTAACTTTTAGAAAGATACTTCTTCTCACAGTAGAGTAAGTCCAGTCAAACTCTGCCATCAAGTGCATTCCAACTCCTGGTGACCCTCCATCAGGCTTTTAAGACAGTAAATCTTAACATGAGGCCACTACTACATCCTTCTCTTTTGAATAGTAATTTAGTACTTACCCTATCTATACTATAATTGCTTCTGTCTTATATTTAATAGATCAAAACCTTTGCAATTTTCACAGTATAATAAAAACTTCCTTAGAAATGTTATAAAATTAGGTCCACTAATGGTAAAAACCTAAGTGTTGAGGACTCTCCTTCATAGGGTCGCTATGTGATGGCACTTAACAACAATAACATCAACATAGAGAGAGCAGCTGGCCCAGTGGACAGAAAGCGATGCTACCAAGCCAAAGGTGGGTGACTTTTAATCTGCAGCCCTCGGGCCTGTCTTTCATTGTTTTTGTTCAGACATTCCTCTACGTCGTATAGCCCTGGTGTACAAGTTGCCATACAGAGGTCACTTGTGGTTGCTGTGAGGCTGAACACGACACTGATGTGTCAAATGTGTTAATCACTGGTTACCCAATGTGGACAGAGAGTGGGGTGGAGCTCCCCAATTAAAACAAGCTTGGAAGGAGCAGTGGCATCCACTTCCATAATAACTTGTCTCCAGAAACCCTATGAACCTGGAGAGAGGATGAGACACAGACACACCCAAGCATTGAGGACTCTCCTTCATATGTTCGCTATGAGTTGCCTGTGACTGACAACACTTAACAACAACAACAACAATGGTAGGAAATTGTGCTGCAATCCCAAAGGCATGCCATTTGAATCCACCAGTTTCTCCACAGGAGAATGGGCAATCTCCCCATGTGCCTCTGAAAACACACTGGAGGGTCAGCTATGGGTAGGCTCCAACTCCATGGTACACAACAACTACCACCACCACCTCAATACAGGGAGCTCTAGTGACTTAGGAGTAAGGAGCTGAGAGCTGCCAACCCAAAGGCACACAGTCTGAATTCTCCAGCTACTCTGCAAAAGAAAGATGGGCTATCTCCTCCTGTGTGATTTACTGCCTCTGAAAACCTGCTTGGAGGGTCAGCTATGAGTCAGTTTAGATTCAATGATACACAACCACTACCACCTCAATACAATTTTCTGAAAATGATATTTACTAAAAATCTAAGGGGGGAGGGGAGCCACACCAAAAAACCTACAAGAAAGCCCACCCAAGCTGCAAGTCCATAAAACTTACCTTAAACTATCTACAATATGCTCCACATTTCTGGTGTGAATATGATGGCGTTCAAGCAATCCACTGTAGCTAGAGCCTTTTAATGCAAGCTATACCAAAAGAAAACGCATTTTTGTCTTATTATATTCATACAATAGATTTTATATATGCTATTATAATACTGTATTTCTTTCAAATACTATATAAAATAGAATTATAGTTATCTGGGTTTTTTATAAAGCTTTATTTTCATTACAAACTGTGCAAATTACAAGTTCAAACTGATGTAGGAAGTCAGATTTCAGAAAACTGTAATGTGGTTGATATTATATACAGGATTACATTTTTTTAACCAGGTAGTCAACAGAACTCAAAATGTACATGCTTCATAGGCTCAATGCTTTATTTTCTCAATGGCTTTGCAACATATTGCATATAGATCCCTGAAGATCAAAGACAATGTCATATTTTGAGAAGCAGAAGGATGACCTTTGCTCCACTTGGAGTCACAGCTCTGGTGTTCAGATTCACGAGCTCTGTTTGGAATTTATCCTACACAATCCGGACAAAGCACTGGCTAACTCCTTAAGAACGAAGAACTTTTAGATAGTAAATAATCATCCAAGCATGATTTTTCCTAGTTGGTTGGAATGATATTTTATAATTATCTTATCATTAATATTTTCCTTTTAAAGTCCAAGTTTTCCAAACCATCCAAAAAAGCAAAATAAATTTTGAGAAGATCAAAGAAAATCTGCCCACTGAAGTCAATTCTAGTAGAATTCAAAAGCATGTTAGTTTATCTTCTCCAATTTCCTTATACTGTGCTTCCTTATGACACAAAACCAGTGTTTTTTAACTACACAACCAATATACAATCATAAATATATCCTGTTTTAAACCATTATTTACAGAATTGTAAAGTAATATACATTTTTAGATTAGGTATTTAAGAATATTTACTTAACTTTTTAAAAAAAGAATAACTTTTTAAAAATTCTTTTTATTGGTTTGCTTACAAAGTTTGAGTGTGAAGTATATTGTGTTTCACACCATTCTTCATTCACATTCTATTTCATACATTCACTCCCATGCATTATGTAGTTATTGCTGATTGTCATGGAGTCGAGCACAACTCATAATGACCCTATGAACAAATGGCTTGAAGCATGCATTGTTGCTGTTGTTGTTAAGTGTCATCAAATTGTAGATGAATCATAGTGACCCTATAAATGAAAGACCTGAACACTTGTATAACTTATTATTTCTCTATGTTCATTGAGTTTCTGGAGGCAAGCTATTTTGCAAGTGGATGCCACTCCTGCTTCCAAGCCTGTTTAATCAGGGAGCTCCACCAAACACTGCCCACCGTGGATAACCATTATTGCATTTGACACATCAGTGTCACAGTGTTTATCATCACAGGTTACCTCTATACAGCAAATGGACAGAACAGTGCAATACTACTTAGAAGAATGTTGGACCAAAAACAATTAAAACCAGGCCTGATTGCCTCACCAGAATCAGAAAACTAATCTCTCTAGAATCCAGTAGCTCCAGACAACTTCCCAACCTGGATTACAGCCCAAAACATGCATTACGGTTTATAAACTTAATCACCACCACTTGTAAAGGTTACAGAAATATTAATCTGGAAGATGCATATGTATATATACAAATAATACATAAATTTTGTTTATAACAAAATACTTCTAAACAAAAGGCAAATATGTGCCAAACTGTGAACTCCATTCATTATGAGCATTTATATCTTCATTTTACAGATTAACATATTTTCTAAATTTAGAAGACATACCAAAAGCAAACTCATGTTAAAAATCATTAATTTAGGTCTTTATTTACAGGAAACCAGTAACCAAGGTAATTGAAATTCCTTCAATTACTTTAACCAACAATAATCAAGATTGCACTGAACACTTATTCTAAGGGTGAATTTCTGAATATGGATGAACATAGCACAAATTTTCAGATTATTACAGTCACCAATTACGGAATCACTAAAGTGATACTAACCACCTCTCAATGAAATTAATCAAAATGCCTCTTGTTTTCTCTTTCTTTTGGTGATCTCCAGTTTCCCACTTTTAACAAATCTCTTTGTTGATGGATTCTCCGAGCAATTCAAACAGTTCACATACTTGACTACTACTAAATGAAAGTTTGGATATTTGAGTCCACCCAGAGGATTCTCAGGGGGGAAAAGCCCAATTAGAAAGACAAACAAACCCCACAAAAAACTCTACCATTGAAAACCCTATGGGTCACAGACCTACTTAGACATATACAAAGTCTTTGTGAGTTTGAACTGATTCAGAGCAACTGATTTTATTTCCTGATTAATCCTTTCTAGTTTTTCTTTCTAACCCTGGCTTCTACCTGGAGATCCAAATGCATTCTTCCGATTGTTTATTTGACATTTCTATATGAAGAGGTATTGGAAGCAGGAGTGACATCCACTTTCCAAATAACATGCCTCTGGAAACCCTATGAACTTTGATAAATGTCAGTAGTTGTAGAGGGGCTTCAATCCTTTTGTTCCTAGGGTCGCTTTGAGTCATGCTCAACTCAAAGGCAATAAACAACAACAACAACGTATGGAAATGTAACTGCAGCTCCAATGGATATGTTCATTATCAAACCTTTAACTTACACTTCCCAGGATCAAATCTAGGAGTCATACTTGATGGCCTTTTCCCCTTTATTCTCAAATTGCTATTGGCTATTTAACCCATCCAATCTGCCCCATCTTCCCCACTACCACTAACAATCTCACCCTTTGCCAACTCTCAGAAGGCTTCTGTTCCCAGCCCCACCCCACCCCCATTCACAGCTCTTCCTTCTCATTCTCTAGACTTCAGTCCTAAAGGTCTGTTCTCTTGAACCTTTATTTTCCCATGTGATTGCTGGAATGTTCTCCTTCAGCCCAACAATGGCTGTTCTCCTGGACCATGAATAAATATCTGCTACTGCTATGGACGACACAATCCCATTTCCTTCAATGCACTCAGCACAAACTAAAACTACCTTAGTATTTCAGAAAATCTGATTGTCTCCTATTATTATTAGTATGCAAACACAATGCAACAGTGACATTTCTCTTGTTCACCATTATTCTTAGGACCTAAGTACTGACCAAGAATTTGCAATTTAATAAGCAGATACTGGGACATATAGCCCAAGTGAAAACAGAAAGAACATAGAGTGAGCTGAGCAAGTCGTCTTTGGTCAGAACTAAGAACTAAGCGAGGTACACTGGTTACAGGATGTATTATTTTCATACAATATCTCATATGATTACATTTTAAGAGTAAATACTTTAAACAGTTTGGAATTAAGCTCTGAAAAATTCTATTTCTTCTTCAAGTACTTGAGTGCCTACTGCCATGTTTTAAGTATTTGCTGAGCTCAATCAAATATATCAACTGACTCTGTTAAGGACATGTGAACTAACTCAAATATGCAACAAATGTATTATAACAATTTCAAACTGGTTGCTCCTCATTGCTACAAACAAAATTTAAGGGTTTCAGGCCCTCCAACTTCAACTTCCTGTCCCGGTATCTGGCCTTGTATTCAGATTTACGTCTGAATAGAGAACATGAAAACATGGATAAAAGACATAAGCCTTACCCTATGAGTCCTAGGCACTTTTTTCCTCCTAACCTGGTGGTTCAGAATTTTTTCACCTCTCTGGTGGCCAAGTGGTAAATCCCAATCCCATTGGGATTGTGCAGCAATCCCAGAGGCATGAAGTTCAAAACCATTAGCTGCTCCCTGCGGAAGTACTGCCTCTGAAAACCTACTAGAGGGTCAGCTATAGGTCAGTTTTCAACTCAAAGGCACACAATAACTAGGTGTTAAAGGACCCTTGGTTGGGTAGTGCACTAAATGTCTGGCTACTAACAGAAATATAGTCAGTTCCAATTTGACGGCACACAACACCAAACAGAAAAGTCAGAGTTTGAATCTACCCAGCTGTTCCAGCAGAGAAAGCTGGGCAGCCTTTCCCCAAAAAGATTTACAGCTTCACAGACCCACCCAATGGAAAGGTTGCTGACATGATGACTCAGAAGCAACTGGTTTGGTTTTTTGGTTTCCAGGTTCTTAGTTCTAAAAAATTCAGACTGCTGAGTTAGATGAATGTAAGAAGTTTTGCTTTGAGGAAGAGGTTTGGAGGACTAACAAAAAACTTCAACTTTCCAAGATTTTAGTAGGAAATATCTTGCTAACAAAATTAAAATTCTTAAAATTCCAAATCTAAATACAAAGTTCATTTAGCATCTAAATACTTGACTCTGGTCCGGAAATGGCATTTCACGAATTCTTATTCCCACTCAAATGTCCTCTTCTGGTGAACTAAATCTCTAGTAACTCATGCTCAATATATTCATTTAGAGAATACCAGTTCCCAAAATAGCTATTTTTGTCAGAGATTTATATGTCTGTAACAGTACACTTTATTAATACTGGCCGGCTAACACAGGTGCTAAAATAACATAATACGTAACATCAATTAGAAAATATAGAACTATCATTCAACTGGATCTCCTTTTTCAAGACTCAAAATCTCAAACTCATCATATGAGTTGGAACCAAATCATAGTTGACCCTCCCAAGGGCTTTCAGAAGCTGTAAACTACGTGGAACGTGTTATCATCTTAAGAATTTCATCCTGAAATCACAGGACTTCAAAAATCATACTTTAATCATTCAAAGAACAAAAAACCATGAATTTTTCTTCCTGTTGTTCTTATTAGGTGCCCTTGAGTACAACTCATAGCAACTCTACAATCTACAGATCTGAACCCTGTCCTACCCTCACAATCTGACACCCTCAAGCCCACTGCTGAAATCTCTTGTTGGTATCAATCCACCTGGTTGAGGATCTGCTTCTCCTATGCCGTCCCTCTACCTTCCAAAGCATGATGTCCCTCTCCAATGAATAGCCTCTCCTAGCAACATGCCACAGTATGTGAGACGAAGCTTCATCCTCTTTGACTCCGAGGGGCACTCTGGATGCACCTTCTCCAAGTCTTATCTGTCTGTCCTTCCGGCAGTCCATGGGATGTAGAAGGTCTTATAATGAAAA